TTCCCAGCTGGGTGAATTGGCTTTAGGGGGAAAGCGGCACAGCGGGTCAGGGAGGGCAGGGGGAGACGCACGTCTGTGCCGAGCCACCTGCGAGTGTTGCAGGAACACAACAAGCTCTTGGCTAATGCAGGTGTTTGGCGAAAACTGTTATTCTGTGGTAAGTGTGTGTGTGTGTGTGTGTGTGTGTGTGTGTGTGTGTGTGTGTGTGTGTTTAAACAAGGTCATTTCAGGTCAGTCTGGCCTGTGTCCTGAAAGCGCTGCTTTGATCAAAGTCCTGGTCTGGACTGCAGAGAAACCCAGGGACCTCAAGACTTTCTTGTAGCCTCTCTCTGGCTCCCTCACACTCAGACACACACATTAAAAGTCAACTGTGGCGACCATAATTCTGCACCGTTTAGCTTTGGCTTGTTATTTTCAGTGTAAATATACAAAGATTGAGAATGTTATGAAAACAGAAAACAGTTGAGCTCATAGCTTTACACCAAAGACAAAGTCTTCAACTGGACCTATGTCGATGTCTAGTCTTTCTCAATTTTATTTCCCACACAAACCTTAAAAATATTCTTTAATCTTTGGGAAAATATGAGGAATATCTAAACTGTGCAGCATTTGCAGAGATGCCTTGATTCTGGTTTTATGAGCGATACCAGTTACTGATTTTTACTCAGCTATGACCTGATGATTTCTGTAACATCTCTAATCTAATGTTTCAGCATTCACCTTTCTGCCTACAGGGAGCCTAAGTCATGCCCGTCTACTTCTGGGTCTCCAGAAATAAGAAAAAAATGAATGGAGCCATAGAAGCAGTTCAATTCAGTTTTTTTATGTAGCGCCAAATCACAACAAGAGTCATCTGAAGGCTCTTTCCACATACCAATACAGTTCAGTTCATTAAGCCAGTCAGTAAAAAGTTTCCTATATGAGGAACCCAGCAGGTTGCATCGAGTCACTTACTAGTTTCTAATCTGCTTTGCCTTACACACGTACGTTGTATTTCAATTTAAATGAGAAGTAATATGTGAGTTTCAACCATGCCCGTCACGTAATTTGAGGCTTGTTAGCTTGTGAGAATTTGCAATTAAAACAACTACAAGTCAGACGTTGCATTTATGACAACAGACAAACATTTGTAGTCCTACACGTCTTCACACGAAACCTAAAAGAACTTCTGCTGCCTGTTAAAATAATCGCGTTCTCGGCATCAAAACACGTCTTTAAAATTCACAGACATCATATGTGAAATCCATGGCACATAACAATCGGGATCCGAAAACATTTATAGCGCCAGTGACTTTCATTCATTCTGCCTCTTTTCTGAGGACCCATGAGCCGACCGGAAAGGAAGGAGACTTAGGCTCCATGTTTGAACACATCCTCCATAACACTCCTCTTTGATTTAATTTAAACCCAACTTGAACATCAAACCACTCTTGAGGTCTTGGATTTTCTCAAAAAATGCGTAATAGCATAGTTGTAGAATTTAACAAATAAAATGGACCCCCATACAAAACACAGACTTTCATGGAAGTTGGGAGTTTTGAGTTATTTTGGCCACCGCAGCCCTCCGTACCTGTTGCCTGGTTACGCAAGGCTCTCTTCTTCACGCAAACATAAAAAGAGGTCATCCATGATGAAAAGGCTAGGCTAGCTTAAACACCAACACGCCTGCAAAAATGTCAAAATTAGAATACATGAAATTATTTTTCAAATTTGAGCAATGCCTGTTGTTGTTTAATGACAGGCAAGTGTTGAACAACCTGCTGAATGCCTCTGACAGATGGAAGAAGTGAGCACAGGTTGTGTTCAGTGGGCATGCATTAACAAGGTTTTACTGTTTTCAGGTTTTGTTTCTGTGTAGACTGACTTGAGCTAAACTCAAAAAGATATGGCCGTAACCGATATTCTGACATTAATGCTGCTAAAATCAACAGATTTTGTATAGAATGAAAACTATTAGGGCTGTAGCGAAGCCTCGACGAAGTCGACGGCTCGATTCTAAAAATTTGTCGACGTCAGATCCGGAAGTCGACGCACCGCGCCCACTTGTTGCATCCCCAGGAGTTTGTGAATAGAGGAGGAATCTGCCTGTTTTTCCTCTAGTTCGCCCTCTTCTCCGCCTTCACTAACATCTCCGCCAAATACCGAAGACCCGGAACAACGTCCGTCCACTACTAGATTATTTTCCTGTTTTGCCCGCCTTCGTCTCCCGGCAACGGACAACAACTTCCGGGGTCAGATGCGCTGCTTCGTGTCTATCGCAGATGTAGAAAATCACCGGGAGCGCTTCTCCCTTCATTAAGGAGCTTCTTTCAGACATGAGGAGAGCTGTTTTGGTGGTAGCAGTCTCTCCTCCGTGCTGGTCTGTTTGCTGCTGGGTGTTTTTGGTTTATTTAAACTTGGTAACTTGAACTTAATGTTGGTAAAGCTACTGTTAGCATCTTCGCTAACAGCTTCTTGCGTTGGGTTAAGCTGTTACGTTTTGGTTTAGAGTTCATCTTTTTTGTGGTGTAGATCTCCCTTTTATTACATTTAGAGTGTTGTGGGTTTTTGGTTTAGTGTAAAATATCACCTGAGTTTGGTTTAACCCGTAAGACCACTCGCCTCACGCACATAAGTGACCAAAACAAAGCAGCATGGAGACACTCCATCTTCTACCACCTCTCAGGCAGCAGCCTGCACTCCCAAGTTCTACACGTCACCAGAACATAACCAACTGCAACACAATAAAAGCATGGAAGGCCTGTAGTGTTTATTCTCTTATAGTAAGAATTTATCAATTTTTTTGAGGAATGTATTTGAGATTTTCTGATTTTTGTTAATTGTGCAATAGAAAAATAATCATTAGATTAATTTTCTAAATAGTCATTAGAATAGTCGACTATTCGATAAAATAATCGTCAGAATAATCGTTTTAAAAATAATCGTTTACCCCCAGCCCTAAAAACTATTGAAGCTAAATTTAGGACTTTGTACACACATCACACACATAAGCTTATGAGATGATTACAATCAGTGTCACATGGATGAACAAATGCACGTCTCCCCCCCCCCCCCCCCCCCCCCCACACACACACACACACACCACCACCACCGCGCACACACACACACTCTCAGATAAACAAAGGGAAAAAATATTGGTTGTTAATATCAGCCCAGTTTTATTCATCAGACCGACAGCGATATGTTACAAAATGACTAACATCGGCCGATACCGATATATTGATACCGATATATTGATGCCGATATGTTGTGCATCCCTAGCCAATATCTAGATGTTTTGCACCTTATTTACATGGGAAAATGCCACTGATAACAGTACATGCACAACATTTCTGAACCTGAATCAGGTTTTGAACTCTGACTTTGACCAACTGTTGAACCTTAATTTAGTTCACTGCTCAGTATTCAAATCAAACATTTACCCAACATTAATTAAACAAACAAAATGACCAAGTCATTAAAAAGAATGTGAAGTTGACAGTATTGTTTCAGAGCAGGTGTTTTTCAGGAACTTAAATAAAACAAAAATCTGCAGCAGCACCAGGCTGCCCATGGATGTGCCTGATGTTAAATCAGCTCTAATAAAGAGGTATATCAGCTCATGAAATATGTAAAAAAAAAAAAAAGATAAATATCAGACCCATATATCAGCTGACTGAAATATCAGTCTGTCCATATTGCTGACTTTCAAATCTGAGGAAAAAGGACACGTTTGATGTACGCATCTGGAGGGGGCTTTGCATTTGGACTGTCACATTGCTGTGACATAATAATCCCCCTCTAATGCAGCCTGTGAAGGATGCAGCCTCTTAATTTGGACGCAGTTGGTCTAACCCGTTCTGATTCTTTGACTTCCCCAGAGGTTAGTTAGAAATCACCCATCTTGGAGCGATATCACAACCACTTCAGATTCAGATTCAGATTTATTGGCCAAGTAAAATTACATTTACAAGGAATTTAGCTTCGGGTGATGTTCGCTCTCTATAACATACAACAACTACAATGAATGAGAATAAAAATACATACATAAAAAAACACATAAGAACATGTATACCCACACACATGTTCATTTACACACACACACATATATACATATATGCATACACGTACACACACACATACACACACACACATACACACACACACACACACACACACTCATATCCATAAGCATACTGAATAAGTATAAAAAAGTATAATAAAGGATGGTAAAAGAATCTACTGATTCAGGAGAGAAATGGCTGAAGGAAAGAAACTTATAGACTAAGTGATGGCAGTTCATCCATCAACACATTTATGTTTCTGTCACTTATGTCAGTGGTGTCTATGTATTTGTAGGGTGTGGTGTGTGTGTGGTTACTAGCCCACCCTGGGTCCGTGTGACCCGGCTCCTCCTCTCTGCACCCTCTACTCCCGTCCTTTTCTGTCGTTCCACTTGTTCACCCATCCCTTCATCCCTGTGGCAAACACACTGTGGAGCAGCATTCCTGTAGTGCCCCCTGTCAAAGCATCTGTATTGTGTGGCGCGGCGCTCCCATTGTTGTGTCAGACAAAGCTCCGCTCTCAGTGGAATAACGCAGCTGGATGGTGGCCATCGCCGGGGTCGTTTGGGGCCGCTAGGCCGATCCGGCGGCACTGAGCTCGGCCTTGATCACAGTCCGGGAAGCACACTTTGTGTGTGTGTGTGCGCGTGTGTGTGTGCGTGTGTGAGAGAGACCGAGGTGGCAGCCAGCAGAATCCAAAGTTCACCGGTTACTCACTTATTCATCAAACTTGTATTTTTCTTGCTGCTTCCCTGGAATTCTCTCAGAGGGAAGGGTGAATGTCACACCACAGTGGCTGTGGAAAACCCACAACCTCACTGGGATTTCAAAACTGGTGTTTGTGGTTTAAACTGGAATGACTGTCAGTGTGGGTTCACCCTACTTCAGGTTGGAATTGATCTGTATCTGTGATGAAGACTGATTTGTTCCATTCTGCTTTTTTCCACCTGTTTGCAGATTGAGCAACAGAGGTTCAGTGTGTGCCTCCTCCTCCTCATCATAATCATCATCGTCAGCTCATCTCGGGGCACTTGACTCTGCCTGTGACCGCTGGCCCTCTCCTCCTGTGCCAGTGACCTTTGACCCTCAGCCACTCTGAGAAGCTGCTCCCCTCTGGTTGCAGAGAGCGTTACAGAAAACACTTGTGTTATTTTTATTTCTAATGTTTTTCATGGGCAAATGTTTCCTGTGTTTTATATGCATATGTCATCCTGTTAATCATTTCACTCGATGGATGCTGCTCCCCCCTCCCCCACCCGTTTAGTCCAACACACGTACCCAGTAGACGGCGGTCAGTGAACTTTGACTGAGGGACAGCAACACAAGCAAAGGTAGCTTTTTCTTTTTGTTTTTTGGCCATTTGGTATTAAAGGGAAGTCTGAAATGAAAGCAAAGGCATTACGGTACAATTTATTTTTTGCTGTTTTGAGCCTGAAATATTAACATTTATATTTTTTCCCACCATGGACATCGGTTAAATTTAACCATGAAAATATTTTTATATATTTTTTATTTCTTGTATTGATTCTAATTGAGATTGTACAAATTAATCTAACTTATGTTGGTAACAAGCTTGTTTTCCATGGTACGACATGGCGCCAACACCCTTTCCTGTTACCGTGTTGCGCAGTGATGCATAAATATCCAAACGTGACTGAGTAACATAGCTGCAACACTGATAAAGCCCCAAAATAATTCATGTATTAATAGGATTTGCAGCACAATAATTTGTTAAAGAGGTACAGGTACCGAAGTTTGCTTTGCCGACTCAGCAAATACGCAGCAGGGCGGAGAAATAAATGAAAGAAAGAAAACACACCAGTCAGTGGTTTGAAACTCCACATTAGTGAGCATGAATAAAGAGAATTAAGACAATCTGATTGATGAGCTAACGGCTAGTTCAAGCAAGGTCAAAATCCGAGTGCTTTGCCGCCATTTTTAACATTTACTTTAACAAAAACTTTAAACATTCATTTTCCAGTAACTTTATGAAATCCCTGGGATGTACCTACATGCTACAATCGGTTGGTGCTGGTGATACTTACACTGTAAAAAAACCAAAACTTCAATGTTGAAATAAGCATGGAAAAGTTGAGTAAAATAATGCTGCAAGAGACTGTAGAAATAGTTTTAAAAATGTGACAACCCAGCATTGGTCTTTGCTGCACCCAGCCTAGCTGTTTGTTAGCTCATTAATCCTGACCACAGAGGGTTCCGGAAGCTATCTACAACATGTAAGATAGTGACTACAACTTGCACAGAAACTACCTTTTGAAATGTGTTGTTAGTCTCTTTAACACAGGGACTCCAAAGTTTTAATAGACATCTTTTATTGGTAGTCATACAAAAAAATACATAAAAGGAAAGTCAAACTGGGATTGATGGATAAAAGTTTTTCCCCTGCTCTGCTGCTGACGGGGTTATCTAAGTTTTTTGCACAACGCACAGCTGCCTCCGTGTTTTAAGATTATTTAACATTTTTAGTTTTACCTCATACGGTCCTGAAAACGGTTCAATTTAGAGAGAGAGAGAGAGAACCTGCACGCACAGCGGCTCTGTGAAAGCACAAAGTACAGGAATTATCAGCTGCTTCGGATCACGTGTGGTGTCTGTCAGCGGCTCGGAGTGACGTCAAGAGTTTCCAGTAACTGGAGCTGCAGGTGCAGCAGGAGGGGGACACACTTGAGCTGTAAGAGTGAACACTCATCAATCACGTTTTTATTATTTCTAATCTCCCAAACAAACGTTTCCTTCAAGAGAAATAAACAGATGGAAATCTGTTATTTTCTGCATAAATCTAAAGTTTAAGACTTTTTTTTATTAGGTTATTTTTTATTTAATTTGATTTTACTAGTTGGTGGCCTGTCATGTTGCCGTTGGCATCACGGTGCGACACAGCAGGGATGTGGAGCTGAGCGGCCTCCTGATAACCATATTTTTAAATGTTTTTGAAAAGCAGCTCGGACGGAGTTCGGTTACGTGCTGGCTGAAGTTCAGCTGTGATCCAGAAGTTCCAGAAACAAATGGTTAATCGTCATATCGGTGCACGTTAGCTTAAAATAGCTGCTATGTATTGGCACTGCGCTAAAAAGAAGAAAAATGCTGATTCACAACTTAAAATCAGGAAATCCTACTGAACGCTCTGTTAAAATGACACATCTGAAGCTTCAATTTGTGTGGGATAAGTTGAGCATTTTTGATGCTTGGGTGGTTTTAATGCTTCAAGTCTATTTAGCTTTTGCCACACTTTGTTTTTATTTTCTTTCTCAATAAAAAAATCACATATCAGATTTATGTGATAGTGGGACGTTATTCCAGATTATTTCCAAATCTAAATCTCAATCTGATTTGCTCCTGATCTTCTGTCTTTCCCACCATCTCAGCCCCTTTTTTAAACATTTAAATCTAGTGTTGACAAACGAGTTTGCGTGTTTCCCGGTCTCCGGTTGTTGGGATGGATTCTCGGAAGCAGACCCGTGTTGTAACAATTTGAATTGAGACCCACTAAATGCTGTTTATGAAGATTTAAAGCCTGTGATGTGTCTTAAATGTACATTATGAACAATTTGAGGTATTTTTCCCCTGCTGAACGAACAAAGAGTTAAATATGAGAATATATCTGCCACAGTGGCCAGAGGGAAACAACTTTCCCCGGTGAAATGTTTCTGTGTACGTACGAGGCTACAGCGACATGTTTTGCGTTCCAGTTAATTTTTTTCTTAGTGCATTAATAAAAATGGTAGTGGTAGATTTTTCGGTGGGACGATTTTGGAAATGATTCCCCTCTGTTTGTTTATGTTGGGTTGCCTTTTCTGTCCAACTACCCCTTGTTTAAAAATTATGAATTGATTCCAAAAAAAAAATGTTTATTTTGGCAACAATGCGACCTCAGACTTGTCCTTGATGATTATTTTTGTCTTTAATAGAAATTACTTATCTGCATTATTATGCAATCTTTTGTTTCCTTTACAAATGGATTTGTGTTATTTTGTATTCTAGTTTACAGAAAAACAATCTTATTGGTTGTTTTGTTGTATTTAAGGCTTCTCTGAAACTGAAGCCTTGCCGCTTCATTTTTAAAGGTACATTTGCAGTTATTTGTACAAAGACGGGGGTTATGACTTGTGTAATGTGTGTGTTTATTTTTTGTAAATTTGTTTGCTGCTGTGTAGTACAGGAGAGAGTCAGTGGCAAAAACATTAGGATCAAGATTATTGCCTTGCTATCAGGCACAAGTTTGTTTTTTATCCCCAACTGCTGGATACTTTTGAAACTTACAGGATTTTGGTGAGAGATAAGGACGTGAATCTTGTTTTCTTCATTTTTCCAATTTGAATGCTGTTGTTTATTAGCTTTACGGGAATACGAGAGTTTTACGGTACTGTGGAGGTGTGTATCCTTCGTATGTGCATTCATTTTTCAACAATGTACGTCCTATATAAAAAAAGAAAAATTAGCTAAAAGATGGAAGCAAAACTGTTGCAAATGGAGATCCTCCTTGTGTAAATAAGGAAAGTTGTTGCTTTTTTCATGTTTTGATTGGCGCCTTGGCTGGTGCCCCTTCCTCGTTTTGTTCTGCTTTTGTTTCTTTTCTCCTTTTTGTTTCCTCGTGGAGAGAAAAGGGGGCAGGAGGGGTACTCGGACGCAGTTTGAGCATCAGCATAGTGTTTATATTTATCAAGACTTTTTTTGCTTTCGATAGAGCTATTGCAATAAAAATGTGTTCATGTAAACACTCGTTGCCGTCTTTTTGTTTTTGCCGTGATCAAAATGTAAATGTGTTTCCTCTGAATATATCACACAGTGGTCAGGTTTTTCTGTATAAAGGGAAAATCTGACACATACAAAATTAAATGGTAAATGGCCTGTATTTGATATAGCGCCTTCTAGAGTCCTGGAACCCCCCAAGGCGCTTTACAACACAATCAGTCATTCACCCATTCACACACACATTCACACACTGATGGGGATGAGCTACAGTGTAGCCACAGCTGCCCTGGGGCGCACTGACAGAGGTGAGGCTGCCGAGCACTGGCACCACCGGTCCCTCCGACCACCACCAGCAGGCAATGTGGGTTAAGTGTCGAAGTTCAAGTTTATTTATATAGCGCCAAATCACGACAAGAGTCGTCTCAAGGCACTTCACATAATAAACATTCCAATTCACAGTTCATTAAGCCAATCAGAAATAATGTGTCCTATATAAGGAACCCAGCAAATTGCATCACTATACAGCAATCCTCATACTAAGCAAGCATGCAACGACAGTGGAGAGGAAAACTCCCTTTTAACAGGAAGAAACCTCCAGTGTCTTGCCCAAGGACACAGCGACAGACTGAGCGGGGTTCGAACCTGCAACCTTCCAATTGCGGGGCGAGCACTTAACTCCTGTGCCACCGTCGCCTGATATTTGATTAATTCAAACATCTGATCAGGTTTTCATTTAAAATTCTTGTCTCTTTGAAAACATGAATTCATTTTAAAAGAATATTTTAAATACATTTTTTAAAATGCAAAAAGAAAATCTAAACCGGGCTCCTGACCCTCATAACATCTAAATAACTTGTGCATAAATTTCTTAAAATAGAAATGTTGTATTAACCTTGAGTTTTTATTAACTACAAATATTTTTCAGGCATAAAAAAACCTATGTGGTTAAATTTAGTCAAAAATATTTGCAATATATTTTTTATTATTAGGTAAATTGTTTAGGTTTGGATACAAAAACTACTTGGTTGGGTTTAGACATATAAATTAGCTAAAAGGTTAGACTTAGACATAACATTTTGTTTTATTAGACAAAAGGTTCTTTATCAGAATTAGGCTTGTAAACTGCAGGTTTAAAGGTGAAAATAATAATGAGAATATGGTGCAAATTTTGTCAGTAATCCATGCATCTTCGACAGAGACCATCTAAAGGCTCAGAAACCCTATAAATATGGAACTTTTTCACAACATTCTAGTGGTCTGAGATTTTGATTGTGGGGTTTTCATCAGCTGTAAGCCATAATCATTACAATTTTAACAAATAAAGGTTGAAATATCAGGTTTTGCATGGAATGAGCCTGTCTCATAGATTTCTTTCACCTTGTAAATTGAATTACTGACATAAAAGAACTTTTGCACCTATTCTAATTTTTTGTGTTTTACCTGTAAGGATTAAGACATGCTTGGTTTAAATTTAGGTATTAAACATACATTGAATGGGTTCAGCCTATTTAAAAAGGCTTATTTGAGTCTCACCCAGGCCCCCACAATGCGGCTCAAAAATTGAAGCAATCCCGGAAGTACCAAAAATTGCAGTTCCACCCTCATCCGCTGGGGGCTGATATCAGAAGCGAGCAAATCCTCATTGACTCCCATGTTAAAAATACCAATTTCACAGCAGAAATAAACATGTTTACAGCCTGGTACCAAAACATGTTTTTGGTTTAAATGATCTAGTTTACACACATGACAACTCTGAGGGGGGTGAATTTTTTTCTCACTCTACTGTTTAAGTGTAATAAAAGCCTAAAATTCTGTATAATTAATGAGCATCAGACCCACATGACCACAGAGCTAGCTTCGTGGAAAGGCCTCAGTAGAGCCTCGGTCTAGCTTGGAAACTGCTCTGGGATTTTGAGTCTCTGTGTTTGTGTATTCTTTTTTGGATATTTTTTGTGCAATTGTTGGACAAAATGACTTGATGTGGCATTAATTGCACTAATAGAGCGTCCAAGAAGTCTCCACTTCATTTTTTTTTCGGTAAGTAAAATTATATTTATGTATTTTAGGTCACTGCCGAGCTGAGCTTAGATTTTAACATGTACTGTTTAACCATGAAATTTAAATGTAATAGGGTAAAACCCAGTGCATTTAACATAATGCTGCACTTTAGAAAATGGGTTGAAATATAACATGTTGGTGGAGCTGGGTTCCGACTATCGGCTTGTGGAGCTCTCGGGATACCTCTGTTTTTCACCTGATTCTCTCCACAGCTCGGCGCATCTCTGTCTGATCACGGCTTCTGTCTGCTGTGGCGGGCTGCCGGCTTGTGGTTCTCCCCTCCCCGCAGCTCGGTGCATCTCTGCTCGGGCTGCCGGCTTGTGGAGCTCTGGGATGGAAACCTTTCCACTCGGTTCTCCCCAGCGGCAGCTCTGCGCATCTCAGATCGCAGCAGCGCTTGTCTGCTGTGCGGCTGCCGGCTTGTGAAGCTCTCGGGAGACCTCTGTGTTCCACCCAGTTTTACCCAGCGGTCAGCCCAGTGTATCTCTGACTCAGAAGCTCTGGTGTTGTGCACAGTTAACTCCGGTTGTAGCTAGGTTGCTACCTCCGTTAGCTTAGCTCCCACCTCCGCGTTAGCTTTGGGTTAGCTTCAGGTTAGCTTTTAGCTAGTTCGACCGGGTGTCGTCAGTTGATCCCAGCCTTACAGCCCCACCCTCAGCGCCACCTCTCTTCCCTTTTGTGGAATTATCTGGGCTTGACAGAACCTGTGACACAGTCAAAATGGCGGTGGTGGCCACCTCCCATTTATCTTCAAAAATGTGTTATTGGATCTATGGAAACCCATTGTCCAATATTTATGTCGATGGTCTCACCCCAATTAAAGCTTCTTTCTGGAGTATTTCTCTTATCCGATGGCACCATCTAGTGGCTGACAAGCATATCACACAAAAAGTCTATTCCTCTGTTTTTTTAAGATTGCAACTTCACGTTTATGTTTATAAATGTGCTTCTGTAGCCAACAAACAGAGCTACAACTCGTTGTTTTACGAGTATTATTCTCATGTCATGCTGTGTTCTCATATATTTATATTTTAGAGACTTACTTGTCTGTGAAAAGTTCATCAACTCTGCATCAGCCGAATTATTCCTTAAATTTGAAGCACGTACGTGGTAGTCTAACAACATTGGTTAAGATCGGCGCTCAGTTTCCTATAGAACGGAGTTCTGTGGTGCAGGGGGCGTGGTTAGCAAAAAGAAAAAGAGGTATTGCTTACATTTTATCACAGTACATGAGCAGATAATCACTTTTACGGATTTCAGAAAAATCATACATCATTTCTAAAAAGGGGAAACTCCGGAAAGCAGCTTTAAAGTAAAAACACAAATAACAACCTTTAAAGACATTTCATTTGGACCATATTGTGACACAACTGGTTTAATTATGGAACTATTAAACTTTATACAAGCTGCATTTGGTCAACAGATTAGGAACTCTGACAACGATCCATTAAAAAGTGTGACATAAATCCATGGATTAGCTCATGAGTGTGTTTGTTTTATTTTTCCATACTAATGCCAGTGTTGCTTTGATTTAACGTCGACGCCTGCCACTCCACTGTGTTGCCCAGTGTGTCCTCAGCTGAACCTTTTTGGTGACCCTTGACCTTTTATAGTCTGTCTAAATAAGTCTGTTCTAAATAGCTAATGATGACCTATGTAATGGATTGGGTGCCCTGACTAATTCTGACC